AACCTTTAACCACCAAAATTTAATAACATCAGTCCCCTAATAAACAAACCCCCATGCAAAATTTCAGAATTTTTCAACAAAAAGCACAGGAGGTATTAAGCTTCAAACAGAATGAACAGAATAGTGCACCCCACACACACAGAAATTACCCCACCCCAAATTTTTTTGCATTTCTTAACATTTCAAGGTGTCCTAAGTCCAAAAATGTAATAATCTGGGGGGAGGTCATTTTTTACCAAGTTGCCATACTTTTCCTGTTATAACAGCCAGGAAAGTAATAACTTTCTGTGTGGAAAAAAGTTTTGACTAAGCAATTTATAATCTGAAAATTTATAACTATGTTTCTATGTAACCTTAATGTTAATCTATTTATCATATTCTAGAAACAAAAATCAGTGTCAAAAATTAGAAAAACTTTAATGTTATACAAGCATTTTCAACATTCCATTAATATCATCTTCAGGCAAGGGTGTGTTGGGCTGGAACAACATTATGGCACTTCTTTTTTGTACCAATTTCATCATAAACAATATCAAAGTTTCAAATTTAATAACAAATTGTGAAATATTCCTACCACTATAATGATATTGATAACAGTAAAGTAATTCTTAGAATAGGGACCTAACAATATAAACAAACTTCAATTCATTTTTATTGTTTTCATAAACATCTTACCTAAATGCATTCATTAGGTATTTCAATACTGATCTTTATTTTTATTAGAACAAAAGTGTTCAGGCAGAGTGAACATGCATTGTGTGTGGCTTTTAATATGCATATGCATCTAAATTAAAATCATTAATGATCATGGTCATTAAGTCAAATAAATCAATATTAGAGTGAAATACACTGGAAAAAGTAAGAATGTCTGTCCTTTATTACTTAAGAAAAGCTAATAATAATTATAAAGTCTAAATTTTAATTTCACCTTTTTCTTATTATTCAAATAATAAATTTTAATATGGCCAAAAAACAGAGAATGGCTTGTATTAGTGATCTTTTAATAAGCAACTAAAATGTTCAAATAAAAGTATTTGCTACACACAATCTAGTGAAATCTTGAAACATCTATTTCCACACCATCAACAAATAGAAGTGGTGATGATGTTGAAGAAATCAAAATTAACTTGACCTAGTATTTGGACAGCTGACATGTCAGCCAAGAATAAAAAAGATTTTTCCATGTATTATTTGCCTTTTAAAATATTAGTACAGAAAAATAAGTATATTCAATTTGTGCTATGGTAAAAAATTTGGGAGCATTTAAAATACAAAGAGTCAGTATTTTAAGAGATAATTTCAAGAGATTTATTATTTGATATAATGATCTACTTTATTTTATCATCATCTCTCATTTACAAACAAAATATTCAACCAAGTGCTAACTGATATTTAAAGAACATAACATTCTAACCAAAAATGAAATGCAATTGAAATTTCCATGTACTCCAGTTAAATGGCTCATAGATTTCTGCCTCCATTTTATGTTTCATTCACACTGTATATTCATTCATTAAGGATAGTGCCATTCACATGTAATTGTGAACTTTTAGTAAACTACATTAAACTCTTATATTAATAATTAGGTTTATTTTATTCTATATTACTTTTCTGCTTGTTACCTTAACTTTTATTTTCTTACTATTAATTAAATAAAGGAAGTATTAATAATTTACATATCTGCTTCTCATCTTGTATTTGCTTTCTCATTTTTTCGTTAATTCCTTTTACATCAATGAATAATCTAATCAATTAAATTTTTATTTCATTTCATTTACAATTATTGCTTGATAGTTAAATAGGTGTATGTAGCTCTAATGCTATGGGGATGTCCATAAATTATGTCTGCATTTTTCTTGAAATTTTTATTTCCTCTCTTTTCTTCGGATGTCTAACAAAACTCAACCCCCTTTAAGGCTGTGTACATATTAGGCGTTTTGCGTTGCGTTAAACGCGCGTTAGCAGCGTACACACCGCGTTAGCTCGGCGTTAGACGACCGTTTAGTTGAGCGTTAGCACTGGCTCAGTTTGGAAATGGACGTGAAAGTAATTGCTTGTGTGTGCTTCCTCCATTGTCGCTATAAAAGACGATGGCAGAGGCAAAGAAAATTTTGGGTGCACCCAATATTACGAGATAGACTGACGCATGGAATGTTTCTGACGTTGTATCCAAAACTAAGGCAATATGAACCCAATTTTTTAAATTCTTTTAGAATATCTATAAAATCATTTGACGATGTCTGGTCTCTTTTAGATTTCATCAATAAATAGATCAGTATCGAAATGATCGTTCTCCAATTCGGCCAACGTACGTCCACTCTACCCGAAAGCGCGCGATCGAATGTACAACAACATAGCAGCACATATATCTCAAAACGCACGGCTGACCCCCGTAAAACGCGCGTTTTAACAAAAATCTATCAACGCGCGTTTGACGGGCCCTTGGCCAAAAGCGCGCGTTTGAGTATGTATGCCTATGCAGAACTCTTGATTCTTTAAAACGCGCGTTTAAAAACGCCTAATGTGTACACAGCCTAAAACCTTCATCACTTTATGAATGATAGATAGCATAAGTAGAAACAAAACATACAAGAAATTTTAAAATATAATAAAATGCATAAAATAAACGGACGTCCATGACGCTCAAGCCTTCCCCTCGTCGGCTTGTTGTAACCCCCTCTACCCCCTTCCGGTGTGAACGTCATTAATAAATTAATAGATCCTATCCACTATTATATACAGTAGTAATGTTATTGCTATCGGGTGGCGTAATCGATATTGTCGTCCGTGAGGACATTTTCCACCACAAGTTAAAGTACACTAAGTTAGATCAAGTTGCAGCATTAACAATGTGCCAAAATATACTACATATACCTTATTTATAACATATGCACATACTGTAATAATCTTTATTAATATTTTGTTTAAATTAATTGATAATACATACCTCTGTTGCTGCATTCATAATCACAGCAAGGCCACTTTAAGCGATCAAGTGGTCTTGATCAGAGATTTTAGTTTGTTTTATCATAGACATATGTAATTGTGATAAATAATATTTTTTTTTTGAAATAAAAAATAATAATAGTTTCCATTGATGTATTGGTAAACCAAATTCTAAATAATAAAAATCATTTTAAATAAAATATAATTTTGTTCAAAAATGTTTTCACAACACGCCGGATGGCCGAGCGGTCAAGGTGGTAACCTACCGCTCTGGAGGGGCCCGGGATCAAATCCGGACTGGTCAAGGAATCCCCAGGAACCCAGAAAAATTTCGGGGTGGGCCGCCCCATTGTGGGCCTGGCCGAACCCATAATGGGCCTGCTGAGGCCTTCTTAGTCTTAGTGCTCACAGGGCAGAAAGAGTAAAAAAATGTTTTCACGAAAACATTCATCAAAACCAAGGTCTACAAACACGAGGGCTACTTTTGTACTAGGTGTTGTTTCGCTTACTTGTTAGCACTAATCTAGTACCTTTTTACTTGTCCCAGTACCAAGATCCCAACACCATTTTCCTAGTACCATTTATAAAATCCTAATACCTTTCCTTTGAATTTTATTCTATATTTCTATATTTTTTTACTTTAGTTTGGCAGTAAATAGATTTTTTTATTATTTCCCCATTCAAGTACAGCAGTTGAACGTATTTATTGCAATTAAATTTAATAAAAACTAAACTACAAAATTGAGTTCTTACGGATTCCTTGAAGCACTGTTATTAGCAAAGGAGCTACTTAAAACGATAAATGTTACACTTGGAAACCATGATCTGCTTCAACCGTACAAAAACATTCTAGTGAAAAAGATTCTGATGATATTACCCGTGATTTTTCAATGAGATAATTTTAAAGTTTAGTACTTCATGTTCATTACTTTTGTTTCAACATTTTGTTCATTTGATTGCTGTTGAGGAATAATAGCACTCATGCAATATAAGAATTTAGCCAGTATGAATTATGTATGTTACATGTAACACTATATATAACCCTGCTCTCGATTCAGTCCTGCTCTCGAATATTAGATTCAATAAGTGCAGTCTTTAAAATTTAGAACACTAACATAAGTAGTCTACACTTATTAGGCAGTTGAATGTTTTTATTGATTATTCGGGCTTCAGAACTAATGGAATAAATGTAACACATGTTTAGCAGCCGTTATTTCAATTATTTATTATTGTAAAACTTACAATGTACAGTACAATATCCAACTACAGAGAACTCTCAAACTATAAATTATAACTCAATAAATATACAGGTTATATTTTTATAACCTGCATATTTATTGTTATAATTTATAATATACTGTACTAGTAGATCCTGTTTTGCATGGAACGGGACGATGAGCCACTCAGAGCCGGCCCCACCATAGGGCGAACGGAGCAGCCGCTCCAGGCGCTAAATCCCAATGGGCGGCTCAGTGGTAAAGAAATTTAAAGGGTATAAATTAGTGGCAACCAAGGGGACGCCATAATAGGATCTCGCTCCATCTTAAAACTTGCCTCGGGCCGGCACTGGCGCCACTAGATCCAGATGTCTTCTTTGAATGGGTGAAGCCACGAAGTACCATGACCCATTTGTCACAATTCGTTAAGAAGAAAAAAGAAAATTAAAATAAGAGCTTAAAACTTTGTCATCGAAAGTTTTCTTTGAGAACTATTTTAATAACAAAATTTCTTTACTATTATTTGTTTATCTTTGAATGTTTTTATTGTGAACTTAAAATAATTTAAATTTTTGTTTACCCATAATGGGGCAAAAAAAAAAAGACTCTCTTAGTGACCACAGGGCAGAAAGAGTTAAAAGAATAAGATATATCTTATATATATATCATCATAAATTTTTCATATAAGCTTTCGTAAGGAAAAGTCTATATATTAATAAAAAGCCATTCTTTAAATTAAATACAGTAATTTAAAATCAACTTTTATACAAATGTAATTTAAAAATTATTTTACTTATTAAATTAACAACAAAAATAACGAAACATTCTCTCGTTAGGTGGCTTCACAGAATACGCGGGAGATTAAACCGTGTTGTCTTTTCTCCGTATTGTATTGATATAAGAGGTAAGTAAGTAAAAATTTTAGAATTTACGATAAATATTATTCATTTGTAACTCAAAGTGATCACGTTTTAAAGTTTTGGTAATAATTGTGGACTTTACACGACAAAAAAATTCAAAACAATGTGACTTTTCCACTTTCGTTTTGTCTGGTGATAGTGGCAAGAGTAGTATATATAATTATACAAAAATAAATTTCAGTTATGATATACCAGAATTTGTATAATTTGTGAAAAAGTGTGAACAATTAGAATTTTTATCATAAAAATTTTTCAAATTCAACATATTTTGAATGGTAAGAAATGGGATAAATGTCATTTTTTTAAATTACATATAACGTTCTTTATTTAACACTAGCTTACCCGTCGCGCATTGCTGCGATCTCAGAAGAAAGGAAATTTAAGCAAACTCGTCATGACAAAATTCAATTTACATTTTATAATTTTTATTAAAACTTATTATTATTACATTATTATTTCGAGTCGATATTAAAATTTGGAAAAGGGGGGATACCTAGATCGGTAAAATACGCGAATTTCCTCCTACAACTTCNAGAGCCGTGAGGACAACGAAGAGTCCAAGGAACGAGCAGAATTCTTCGATATCGAGAAGAGCAGAACAGACCTTGGGGAAAAAGATAGCAAAGAGGCGCCATACTTCGAACAGCGTATACATGTGACAATGCCGAAGAGACTCCCTATACTTCGGCACCACGTGACCGAAGGGTCGACATCGCGTCGGTGAAGATCGCAATGACAAGTTTCGTCAGGACTGACACCACTGTGTCTTCACGGCTAGACACAGAAACCGTTTCGTTCGGGCGTGTGAGCGAGCGGTCGCGTGTGTGAGCGAACGGAGTCGAGATAGAAGGAGAGACAGCGCACCGGAAGTGACCTACTCATAGACGCTTTAACGTAACAACTGTTTAATGGTTAACGATAGGCTATACATTAGGGCTGCGGTTAGATACATTTCTCAATTTGATAAGTATTCGATATTAAGATATTACGTTTTTCCCCGATTTGAGAGAGAGTTTACAGAAGTTCGCGTGGCGATAATTACCTTGTATGAAATCACAAAAGAAGACAGTTCTGGACTACAGTTCTTATTTCCACAGTTATTAGGCGGGGAGGTATCCAAAGGCGAGGAAATATCCAAAGTTTTAGCACAGAGAAAACTTGAGTGGTCCGATCGAGGAACTGGTGACGACTGCCTAACTTTGTTGTCTGTTTTTCATGTTGGATTGTTGAAACGGAGATATTAGGTCGAAAGGTGCTGAGAAAGCGTCGTTATTAAGCCTGAGAACTTAGCAGATGTTTAGCTCCCAGGTGCAAAAGTTGACAGTTATCGAATGAAAGTATAGCTACAATGTGAAATGATATAAACACACGAAAAGTCCGAATTCGGATCCTCACATATACGTACCAAAAGAAATCCCGGGTATTTCTATTCTCCCTACCTTTTGTTTCCATATTCATCTGTCCTACGTTCTTATTTTTTTCATTAGTTATAAGATAGATATAAGTTAGTTATATAAGTAGTTTTTTTTTTTTTTTGTTGTCAAGTGTACGAACCCCGCCGACTGTGGAGGACAAGCCTGTTCCTTTTTTTTCTGTATAAAAGAGGCATAAAGTTTGTTAAGTTGGGATTCCTAAAGTAAAGTTTCTGTGTGATAATTGAATTTTGTCTTTCTTGTGTTTGTAACTTTCGTTCGCGGAATTGTATACCTGTCCCGTAACGAACTACCACAATGTGTCCTCTATGGGGTCTTCTGGCGTACTCGCCGAATAATTCAAAATTCTTTCTGTTTCTGACGAGGTTTCACCGATCAGGATCTCGTATTTTTTCACTGAACAGGAAAAAAAGGGAATTTACTGAGGGGTTGACAGTTCCCAGGGTGACTAAAATTTTAGAAGATAAGGGAAAACAAACAGGATGTTCAACTTCCGTTGAAGGAAGTGGCTTTTATCAGTTTCCTTCGTTTTAGAAAGTATAATTTTCCCATCAAAATCATTGAATAATTTCGTCTAAAATTTTTCTATTTCGATTAAATTTTTAATTAATTACAGGTGTGGTGTTCTAAATCTCACACTAGTATTTTTCTTCCAGTGGTCAGACAAGAATTTCTCAATTGGATTCCAATTGAAACTTTGCAGAATTATTTTTTGACTTATTACTTAGTTTTATCTACATATATATATGTATGAAGAATAAGAATGTCAAGCAAACTTTTGTACACTTTAATGTGTTGATGATCTATTTACTCATTCACCAACTATATGCAAGAAATTTTTATAATGTACCAATATTACAAAAATTTCAGACTGGTATGATTTATAGGGTTTATTTCATTTACATTAAAATGTATGTGGTTAAAATAATTATTATTACATTGTAAATATATAAATTTTGTCATTTTATTTCTAAGGTAGAATAGTTTGACATTTACTTGTCATAATTACATGGATTTTTTTAGAATGTTTAAGAGGTTCACTTATAAACCTAGAACTGGCACCAATTAGAAACAACTTTCAAGCAGAAACAGATATACCCTAATTGGTGCTAGTTCTAGGTATTATCAAACTGTGTAGTTGCCCAAGACAGGGAGAGAAAATCGGTACAAATTTTGCACTATTTATATGTTAACTAGTAGCCCGGGACGCCCCCTAGTGGGCGTTCCAGCAGCATTACAAATTCCTGAGGCATGTTTAATGCACTTAATATATGAAAGTTGTGTGCGCTTAATGTTTAAAACTTTGATGCAGTTAATATATATAAACGTATACAATTCTTCATCTTAGAAACTAAACTTAAAATATCAATACACAAACAGCAAACAGTATTTGTACATGAGAAAGTGAATCTATTCTTTACTCAAAATTGTTCAAATAAATAGAATTAATATGATTAAAAAATCAAGTATAAATATATACAAATGTTCATGTTAAAAAGTAATGTTAACAGATCAATACACAGCAAATAGTATTTCTGTATTACAGACTGAAGATATTCTTTAGCTGTGTTCNTTTTTTGAAGGGGGGAAATGGTCTTCACAATTTGAAATCGATCGAACACACTGTGCTTGAATGCTCATGTAAACGCGCGCCATTTATCGTAAAATAAATGTACTATGCCAAAAACCTTCGCGGGAGTGTATTAAAAAACTTTCCGAAGTTTTATGGCAATCGTACTATGCCACAAATCTTCGCCGGAGTATATTAAACAACTTCCCAAAGTTTCACGGCAATCGGATAAACGGTGTGGTAATGCATGAAGGACACACACACACACACACATTCATTTTTATATATATAGATTAAAATTCGGTACTTATGGGTTAAGAGGACGCCAGTCGGAAATAGCGTTTTTAACGAGTAATGCAATTTTTTATTTGTCAAATTTAATACAATTGTTAAATTAAACAATAAATTACGATTTATAAAGATATAACAAAATTCACAAATTCTAATAATAAACCACTTGAAAATGCAAATCGTTTTATATGGCAGATAGGTGATATTTATAATCATCCTAATTGATTTTTTTTTTCATTTTTACAACTTTATCAGTAAATTTTCTTCTTTTTAAATTTAAATTTACTAGTCTATTATTGTTTTGATATTTTCATTCAAAATCGTGACTTTGATCACTATTTCCGACTGGCATACTCTTAACCCATAAGTACCTAAAATTCTTCATAATTCTGATAATTGTATGTTAGATTACTATAAGAGAAATATTCAGTTTTTATAGCTTTATCATTCTTTATTTGACTTTAGTGTTTTATATTAATAATGTATATCAGTACTTATCACATATATGTGATAAGTACTGATAATTACAGAATACAAAACAATTAATTTTATTTGTCATTAATAGATTAAACATTTTGGTTTCTGTAAATACAATTCATTCTCAATATGTATATATTTTAATATGATTTTTTAAAAATGTATTTATATGTTACCAGACAATGAATAATATCATATCAAGAGGAGCCTTTATAGTTTTAGAAGGATGTGATCGAGTAGGAAAATCAACCCTAACACGATTTTTGGTTGAAAATCTCAGAAACAATGGAATGAAAGTAGAATCACTTCATTTTCCAAGTAAGTTTTACAAACATTTATTATGATTACTAGCTGCAAGTACCCGCTTTGCTGTGTTTTATTTGTTTGTACATTTATAATTAATATAGTTTTTTCATATATATAAAAAACTGTTTCTCTTCCTCTATATAATCTTTCTCTGATTTGATGTGTTTCCCTATAATTTTCAAATTTCTCTTTTGTCTGATTATATCTGTTTCATTGATAATTTTCTTGTAGCAATGTTAGACGTACTTCTCTTTCTTCTGTGGTTTCATTTCTCTGTGCCATCTTTTGCCTTTGAGATATGATTGAGACCACAAAAATTATTTCTTACTCTTTGGCATTGGTTTTTTTTTTTTTTATTTTATTTTATTTTATTTTTACTTTTCACACTTCACTATTCACTTTCTACTTTTTTCTGTTATTTGTACACTTTTACTTATGAAAAATCAACTGAAGTATGTGCGTCACACGTCTCCAAAAGCTATCCCCACTACTCACACATAACAGTCCTCAACTATTCCAAAACATTTAAGATTAAGAATAAAATTACATTATACTCTTTTCACAGAATGCAAGAATTAGATCCCCCGTTTCCAGACTAATTAGAAAATTTTTACATGGTCTAAAAATATGTTTGATTTCCTGCAAAAAACCGCATCTGTGCCTGTAAATCTTGCACGTCGCTTTCTCTTAACACTTCCATTGTTAACACTTCCTCTGCGGCGGGAATTTTGAAAAATCCCTTCTTAGTGTACATTCTCGTGACATAACCTATTAAAACGTAATCAAAAACGCAAAAAACTGCATATAAAATAGTATAATAGAAGCTGAGTTTTTCATGGGAAGCCTTAATCCTGTCCCTCTCTCCCGCGGGGGGAATTTCGAAAAATCCCTTCTTACTGTACGTTCTCACAATGCACCCTAACTGTGTACCAAATTTTAACCTTCAACTCCTAACCGTTTGGGCTCTGCGCTTCTTATTATTATTCGGAGTGGCTATTTCAGAGGGCAATTTTGGCAACTAAAAATAATATTGTCGATGATATCAACTTTAATATTCAAAAGAAAATTCTTGAAAATATTCAAAAGAAAATTCAGAACTGGCAATAGCTCCTCCTTTTTTAAGTTTTGGCATTGTATAAAATATAAATCAAATCAACTTTTTATTAACAAATACACTAAGTACACTTTACACCAGGGGTGTCCAACCCGCAGCCCAAGGCAAGTCCCAATGCGGCCCAATAAACGTGTAAACAAAACCGACAAATTGTTTTATTTTTTTATTTCAACGGCATAAACTCAAAAAAGAAGTTTCACAACGCCGTAAACTTTTATACATATTTTATTTTTGAGTGAAAAGGAAATATTTTCAAATACTTGGAGATGTGTGGATGACAAAGGAATACTAAATAAAGCTGAAGTTGTGACTCAAAGGATTATAGTCCCAAATATGAGAAAAGGAGAGAAAGGCCAAAAGATAAAAAGTAGTGAGAAAGGTTAAATAAACCTTCTGTTATGCAAATATTGACCCTTAATTTTCCAACCTTCCTCACTACTTTTTATCTTTTGGCCTTTCTCTCCTTTTCTCAAATTTGGGTCTATAATCTTTTGAGTTCCAACTCCAGCATTATTTAGTATTCCTTCCAGCATTGCAATATTTGGCTACTCTTTTTTTAGTTTGGCATAAAAATTATCATTTGGCACATTGACTAGTTTCTGGGCTACATATTATTTATAAATATATTAGTTGAATAAAAATGCACTTTAAAATAGTGTTTTGTCATATTTTATTAATTAGAGACCCAAATAAAACAAATATTTGTGTTTTTTTCAAATAAATTTTTGTTTATCTCCTTTATAATAAATGAATTTATTTATTTCTAAGTAAAAATTAAAAGTGTCTGTAGAAGTAATTTTTCAAAATATCCTTTTTTGTGATAAAGTTTTAATACTTATTATTATAATGTAGACTTGTTAATCCTTAAATATACTTGTATATTTAAGAATTAACAAGTCTACATTAAATATACTTGTATATTTAAGGATTGGGTAACAAATATATTATATATACTTGTGGCCCAAAACTCCATGATTTTTTTCAATGTGGCCCAGAGTAACAAAAAGGTTGGACACCCCTGCTTTACACAGTTTTCACGCTTTATTTTCAATTTATATTTAGTCACTGTATCACTTTGACTACTCACAGTTTACTGTTTGTTTTTATTCACTCATTGCACTGCTTTAGAATTTTCACTTCTTTTTCGGTTCTTCCCTTCATCACTGATAAGAAACTGACGTTCGAACCCATGACGGATCTTGCTTTATATGCCCCCACCAATGGGTAGTCCCATCCATACAAAAAAGGCTTTGAATGGTCCACAATGTTCCAGAACGTTCCACAACATTCGAGAGTGTTCTGGAATGTTCCACAATGATCTGGGAAATTTTCAAACATTCCAGAACATCCTGGAACATTCTGGAATGTTGTGGAATGTTCAGGACTGTTCTAGAAATTTTTAGAGGGTGAAACATCCAGCCCTTATATCTTCAACAGCTCGCCCTTCAGGTAAAAACGGGAACCTTCTTCATGGATGGGGGATAGAAGGCTACCAAACCATATAACACACTTGATCATACTGGGACTCGTTTTTCAGTTTTAGCAGCATGCATATTGTACACTTACCTTTATTATATATATTGATTATGATACATAAGAAACTTATTTATCAATTTTTTATTTTCAAAAATTAAAACGTTAATATGAATTGAAATTTCATAAATAAGTACCAAGCATCTTATTAATAATAAGAATATTTAACAAGAAACTAATAACAGGTGCTTGGTAATTATTTAGTATTGAATTTTTATACCTGTTCTTACATATATTTACTAAAAACATAAATAAGAATGCATGTTTATTCATGGCTTAGTACACTTTTTACATAATAAATACTATAGAAAATGTTTTGTATTATTGATGAAAAGCAGACTGATAATTGCTTTAATTTTAAAAGTATATTTTGGAAAAATGGAATTCATAAAGTTCTTGTTTTATACGTTCTCTTTTAGTACTGTCAATAAATGATATATTGAATCCAAAATTGATAAATGTTTTTGATGTCAGTAATCTATATTTCACTATTCCATATCTTATATTTTGGTATGTTGATATTGATATACTGAATATTGATATTGATCAGTACAGTAGACTCCCATATAATTACGGTTCCTATAATTACGATTCCTATAAAACTGCGAAAAAATTGTGACGGTATCCATAAAAAAAGGTAAAAAAAACTCCTATAATTACGTAAAACGTCATCGGGCAGCCGAACTACTTTCCTGCCGTCCGTAGCGCCGTGCTACGGACATTTAGGCGGGTAAATTGAGTTTAGTTTCATCTGTACATATAATTATATATAAATTAGGTACTGTACATATAATTATATATTAACTTAATTTATTGTAACTTTATTATAATTATATATATATTTTCCTCTGCATAGCGCCACGCTACGGAGATTTTACGCTAACTATTGTCTGTACAATATGTAAATTAGGTACTGTAAGTCTAATACAGTACTGTAATTTTATACATTTCTTGTGAAAGAAACATTTCTTATTCAACGGC